CCCCAAAACCCCAAAACCCCAAAACCCCAATGGCTTGAATAATTACAAATTAATAGGCATTCTTAAAACAAATTATTAAATAATTAGTATAAGATAATAATGGACCAAAGTGAGGTTACTTTACTCTACAGAGTTAGAAAGACCGTTCTCTAGATGCTTAAGGACCGTAGTTACATAGTCAGTGATAAGAAACTAAATCAGACCCTTGATGAGTTCAAAGCAAGTTACAATGGCTCGAGAGATTCATTGAATCTTCTAGTTGAAAGAAGAGCATAGCATGATGCAGAGGGAAATGTTATAGTCTCAGATGAGGCTTAGAGATTGATTGTGTTCTTTCCAGATCAAGATAAGCTCAACATGCAAGCATTAAAGCAAATAGCTTTGAAAATGATAGAAATTAACTGTTTCAATTCTGTAGTTGTTATTAAGGGAGCAACACAGATCTCAAGAAGAGTAAGTATAGAGGAAAAATATTTTACAAATAAAGCAACTAGTTTTGTGCCTTCCGCAATTATTGATGCTAAATTAATATTTAGGAACTTGATGAACTGAAGCCATGTGAAATTGAGTGCTTCTTGTAATAAGAGTTACTGGTAAACATTACTGAGCATGAGTTGGTCCCCAAGCATGAAGTGCTTTCTGATTAAGCAAAGCATGAACTCCTGAAGAAATAGTAAGACTACTAATAATTATTTAACTCTTTATCTTTTAGTCGTGTTAGAGATTCCTAACTTCCCAAAATTCAAGTTGAAGACCCAATTGCTAGATACTATGGAGTAAAGCGTGGCTAGGTAATGAAGATTGTAAGAGCATCTGAGACAGCAGGACGTTATGTGACTTATAGATTAGCATATTGAGCAGAATATAGATGAGAAATAAATAAACACCTGATAATTAAGCTTTAATTCTATTGAAAAATTAATCGCATTATATATTGTTAAAGCTTTAATTACTTTTATAATATTGATCTAGTTATATAATCATATCACGAGCTGTAAAAATTTCTTCTTTTTTTTTCTCTGCTAATTAAATTGCTAAGTGTATTTCTGTATTATAGCATCATATAGGGTAGCCCCGTGATGCCTGAATTCTAGGTATTCCTCTAATTCTTACTCAATAAAATCCTCAAGCACATCTTTTTTACCCTTTCCCACAACAAAGTCCTATTTTTATTAGAGATAATCCTTAAAAATGTCACTAATTTTCTCTTTATTTGATTCCAAAAATTCCTCTTCTTGAATTAAGTGTTGAAATAGATGCCCTAAATCTTCATAGTATTTTATAATCATCTCCCGCTCATACTCCATCTTTACATTTTCAATTTGAGCCTATTTCTAAGCCTTAAGGCATTCTCTAATGATTTTAATTGCTTTTTATTCTTCTTCTTAAGGCTGCGGCTAAATTATAGACCTTGGAGATTAAATAGAGAGTTTAGGTCTCGATGGGTCCTCTTCTTCCATTCCGAATGTTGGTCTAAAATTACTGACTGATGATCTAATGTTTCTTTATTAACTCATTACAGATTATAAGAAAGGTGACGATTGCGTTTTCTAATGTTTTGACTTCAAAATTGTCTTAAAGTTTTGAGTATTATGTAGGAGATTTTTATTAAGAGAAATCTTATCAAGTATCTAAGTTGGGTTGGAAATATAGATTGATTGACTCTCGCTTGGTTTAGGCTTAAATCTATCGTATAGCCTAGTTTTAAAGAAATAATTTCTCCGCAGTTCCTCTTCCAATTTTCTTTATTCTGGACTCTTATTATGCTCTTCGTTGTGCTGTAGTTATTGAGAAGACTTATAATGAGTATTTTAGATAACTTTTTCTTGTAAACGAGATAACTTTACTCCTTGAGATTCTCTTCTTATTGGCTATTCCATCGAAAGTACTGATACTTAATGCCTAGGTCTTGATTTTTCATTTCTTACTTTTGTTCCTCTCTCCAATTCTGTCAGTTCTTTTATTCTTGGACTTCTGTTTTGATTTCTTCTTACATTTTGTGATGTTGATGCTCTAGGCTAAATGGAGAATACTTACCAAAGTTGATCCTACTTTTTTTCTAAATTGTTCTTCACGATTGCTTTCTTCCCTTTCATCAACTTTAACTCATTCATTTTATTACTAGTAGAAGATTCTTTTCTTTTGTTAAGCTCTTAACTATTATTAACAATTGAATCCTCGGTATCGAACTCTCTAGGTAATGCAAATTATTCAATCCTATCTGAATGACACCCTTTTTTATTTTATTTTTATGATGGAAATTGCCTTATAAATGACTAAAACGCATCCATTTCCTTCTTAACCTAAGATCTAATTTCCAATCTCATATCTGTCATTTTTAGATTCTTGATAGTCTGCAATGTCTCTAAAGGATTTATATTATATTTTTCATAGAATTTCCTACTCATTCTCGTGTTTGGCGTTTCAACCTGATTATCATCTTGATTTTTATTCAGTTTTGTAGTTGACTATTTTTTTTGGACGCTTTGAAATGATTAGAGGTTTGATCCATTTTCAGACTCTATCATATCTTAAGCGTCAAAGAGTCTTAAAGCACTTGGAGAATTTCGAGCACTCAAGAGCTATATCATGTCTCCGCTGATTCCTCTGAGCTTGGTTTTCTCGAATAAATTTATTTTACTTCCACTCTAACCTCGAACTTCTTCAATATTAATATCATCATCATCCTCTGACTCCTCTACATGAATTTTGACAACATTCTTATTAGGATCTAGTAATTGAAATCTCTAAGACATTTTGTTTCTTTCACTTGGTCTTAATTGATCTCTTGGATCAGCAATAGCATATGGATTCATTACTTTCTTCATGCCCAAGTTATTTATTTGAGTTAGTCTTTTTATACTATCATTGTCATCTTATTCCTTCTCTCCATTATTTGTGTGAGAGTTTGAGTTCTTTAGCAAACTTATCAAAGGTGATTAAGCAGTTGTGATAGGCTTGGATTATACAATATGCTTCTTTTGAATACTTTTAGGATACAGTCTATTCAAGAATGGAGTTTGAGGATGCTATCGAGATGATTTCAATTCAGTTAAGGTAATTTTTTGTAATGAAAAGGGCGTTTGCCGTTCTGATGCTGCAGGCCTAATCATCAAATGATTAAAGCTCTCCGAAGCTATTCTTGAGTTTAAATTAAGAGTTTTTTTGCTAGGGGCACTGGGGGAATTATTTATTTACAACAATTAAAGAGTGGGTGTCTAATCAGCCATTCAGAGATAATTTAATATTGATATATTTCAAAGTAAGAAAGCACGCAATAATAATAATAATAAAGTTGGAAATAAAATGAGCACAACTATGAGTAATAACAAGGATCACAAGTAGCTCAACTACTTGTATAATAAATACTTGGTCTGTCTCACTAAAAGACTAGATCAGTATGCTGAGGAGAAAACAAACCCTGACACTTAGGAGTATTGCCCACAAGAAAAGGAAAATTACTACAACTTCTATAAAGAGCAATTCAAAGTAGAATATGAAAATTTGCTAAGGGTCGATTCACTGCATTATTGAAGATAAAACTTCAAATAATAGGAGATAAGTTCCTTGATGTGGGAATCAATCTCAGAACATAATGTCTATCTTGATAGATAAACGTATTTAAATAACATTCATTCCATATAGCAGCTATTTTCATTTTTATATTTCATTTATTGCGACATCATTGATCAGTGGGGTTTTGGGGTTTTGGGGTTTTGGGG